TGGGAAAATTATATAGATTATGTATTTAGAAAAAGGAAACAAAAAATTAAATTGAATTGAAAATAAAATTTTAATTAAAGAAATTTCGCGTTTCGCGACAAAATTATATAACTTTATATTTTGCTTTTGTAGTTGAAGTATTTGGAATTTTTAAACTGATATTATTATAAATTAAAATAGAGTTTATTTATTTAATTTTGGAGAATTATTTAAAAAATACAATTTTATCGATATAATATTATTTTCTACTATTTGAAATTTAATTATGATTTTTAATATTTTGACTTAATTGAAAAAATTAAATTTTCTTAAATTTAATATGTAGTTTCTCACTATTATTTAATATAACATAATTTTTAATATATATTAAATTAATCATATTATAAAATTAATAATATTAGTTTTATAAAAAATCTAATTTATTAAGTATTAACTTAGATTTTATTGTTTATATTTTAAATATTTGATGCATTTCAATCAAATATTTTATTAATTATATCTTCATAATATTTTATTGTTATCAATTCATTTTATTATATTAAAATCAAAGTTGATAAAATTTATTATTATTTAGCATTTTGACCATTTTTAATCTAAAAGGAGTCGCGAGGGCCGAAGGCCTGAGCTGGCACCCATCTAAAAGAGAGGGCGAGGGCCGAAGGCCCGAGCTGACACACATCTAAAAGGGCGAGGGCCCGAGCTGACACCTATCTAAAAGGAAGGGCGAGGGCCGAAGGTCCGAGACACCCATCTAAAAGGAAGGGCGAGGGCCGAAGGCCCGAGCTGACACCCATCAAATAGGGAGGGCGAGGGCCGAAGGCCCGAGCTGACACCCATCTAAAAGGAAGGGCGAGGGCCGAAGGCCCGAGCTAACACCCAACTAAAAGGAAGGGCGAGGGCCGAAGGCCCGAGCTAACACCCATCTAAAAGGAAGGGCGAGGGCCGAAGGCCCGAGCTGACACCCATCTAAAAGAGAGGGCGAGGGCCGAAGGCCCGAGACACCCATCTAAAAGAGAGGGCGAGGGCCGAAGGCCCGAGCTGACACCCATCTAAAAGGAAGGGCGAGGGCCGAAGGCCCGAGCTGACACCCATCTAAAAGGAAGGGCGAGGGCCGAAGGCCCGAGCTGACACCCATCTAAAAGAGAGGGCGAGGGCCGAAGGCCCGAGCTGACACACATCTAATAGGGAGTGCGAGGGCCGAAGGCCCGAGCTGACACCCATCTAAAAGGAAGGGCGAGGGCCGAAGGCCCGAGCTGACACCCATCTAAAAGGAAGGGCGAGGGCCGAAGGCCCGAGCTGACACCCATCTAATAGGGAGGGCGAGGGTGGAAGGATGAGTCTAAGTGGAAGGATGAGTCCCGACTGAGGAAAGACGAGGGCTGACGGCCCGAAGTGACGCTAAGTGGAAGGATGTTTTGAACTGAGGGAAACGAGGGCTGAAGGCCCGAAGTGACTCTAATTGGAAGGACGAGTCCCAACTGAAAGCTAATCTTTTGATCCAGGCATAAAAAATCGCTAGCGGCGCGCGAAGCGTGCCCCCAAAGCCGTTAGGCTTTCCAACGGGCAGAAGTTTCGTAATTTAAAGAACCCCCCGATGTATTTTACCGCCACAGTATCGTAATAGGCACCCCAGTGGCCAAACCCATCGCTAGTTTAATATAACATAATTTTTAATATATATTAAATTAATCATATTATAAAATTAATAATATTAGTTTTATAAAAAATCTAATTTATTAAGTATTAACTTAGATTTTATTGTTTATATTTTAAATATTTGATGCATTTCAATCAAATATTTTATTAATTATATCTTCATAATATTTTATTGTTATCAATTCATTTTATTATATTAAAATCAAAGTTGATAAAATTTATTATTATTTAGCATTTATATAATAAAATTTATTATTATTTAATCTTCACCAATATTTTTTACCTGCGTTAAGAGATCTTTTCCGTTTAGAAGTAGTTCTCTTTCAAATTTTTTTGAAATTTGCAGTTGTTGTTTCATTTTGTTGCAGCACATGTAATAGCAGTGTTAATTTGTTGTTTAACCTTATAGATTAATATATTAAATAAATAATTTAATATATTAATTTAATTAATTATATTTAATATATTAATTTAATATTTGATTTGGCATAACTCGAAAATAATATATTAACAACAATATAAAATTTACGCATTAATAATAGCATGAATTTGCATTTAATTTTATACTTATAAAAAACATTTAATTATTTTAATTTACATTCGTAACAATTAATATAAATTTAAACTTTCCCATGTGTGGGTTGGCTGTTTTATTTAAGTATTAATGTAATAAACAGATGAAATCTTATACACAAATATATTTATAATCTATAATTTTACAGTTCATTAACAATATTATTTCATTGTTTATAATTCCTGAAAATTATATTGCTTAATATTATAAAATTTAAAGCAACTATTGTTTTATTTTGTATTGATCATATTTTTCATATTTTATACTTTATATTTTTATTTATATATTTCTTAAATTTTTATTTGTTTTATTTTTTTATATTCATATCTTTAGCTTTTGATTCATAATTTTAGCCTTTGATTAGTGATGTAGAAGAAATTCTGAATAGAAGTCAATATTCTGCTTCATACAATACTTTGGTTGAGCATTCAAGAAGGCTTGGAATGGAAAATTACTTATTAGAATTACGTGACGGATCGGTCACAGCTTTCTTTAAATGTTGTCTAGTGGTTTTTAATAAATAGTGATTTTTGATGGGTGTCAGATAGAATTCAATAGAATTTATTTAAATTATTTATCTACTTTTAATATTTAACAATTTTGTAGTAAATTGAGGTGGGCAAAGGGGCGAACTCAAAGGCTTTTAAATATTCATATAATAATTCAAATAATAATCTGAACGAACAATATGAAAAAGCTATCACAAAATTTTCTAACTCTAAACATCTTTTGTTCTTTGCGCAAGTGCATTAAAAAGAGAGTAATAAAAAATTTATAAATAAAAATAATTTTAAGATTAAAGAGTAAAAACAAATTTAGAAGAAATTAATATTTAATAATATTAATAAATATTCAAAAATTTTTAATTTATTTCTTTTGGAAGATTTTTTGTTTGTAAAAATTTCAATTTCAAATCTTGTAATTATTCTATTGGTGGGCCAAATTGTCAGGAAAGGTATATCCATCACGAAGTGTATATTCGTCTAATATATACGTACCTATCTCGGATTGTTTAATGCTGAATCAATTTGTATTGTATTAATTAATTTTGTATTAATTAATTTTGCTTAAACCAGTTATTTTTTATTTGAATAAAAATTTATTTTTTCAAAACTCAATTTTCTATATTTTGTTCGATCCATAATTGTTTTTCACATAGTATTATTAGAATTATTTATAAAATTTAATACAAGATTGTATTAGTGAATTCTTAAGTTGCTTTGTCCAAATGGGGTCACTTATTTCCAATCTTCGAATGTCACATTATAATAATAATTTTCATGTTCACAGGACGGGCAAAATATTTAATCATAAATTAAAAATTATTTATTATATTCATCGTAAATTATTTCATTTTTATTTAAACATTAAAATTTTCACTCAATTTCACTCAAAATATAATTTTAATAAAAATTCTATTAATAAAAATTTTATTTTTAACCAATGTATTTTGCCATCATTAATGAAATAATTATTTTATTAAAATTCACATATATTACCTTACTCGTTTTTAACATAAAAGTAATATTCAAACATATTTTGTGATTTTTTGATAAAAAATTTAGTATTATATAACGCAAACGATAATATAACGCAAACTCAATTTATTTAGAATATAAATATGAATTACAAAATATTATACAATAATTATTTTTAAATTTTTAATAATAATTTTATATGTATATGTTATAAAAGTTAAATCATTTTTGTATTATTTGAATTTTAGATGATTACTTTTTTAAATTATACTATATTAATTTATTATTTGGTAAATGCTTTAAGCAAATCTATGTAAATTAATTTTCGTTTAACTTAAGTTGATTAATGGATGGTCTTCCATAGGTACAGGCTGATGTAGGGACCTAGACCTTAGATTAATCGTTGAGCGTTAATTTCCGCAATTGTTATAATTGCACATAAAACTACATTTTTATCTATTGTACTAAATTATTATTCTTTAAAGTATTGTAAAATATTTATAAAATTATGTATCTATTAATTAAATAGTTATTATTATATTTTACTTTAAAACAACTATTTTATTTTAGCATTATTAAATAAACTAAATTTTTTTATTAACTAAAGCTATACAACAACAAGCATTTATATCAGTGAGACTTTTTTCAATTTCTGTTGATATACTATTCCAATGGCAGATCCTACTACAACGGTACCAATTATAATGACACCGTCAACTACCGTTGTGGTAATAAGACCGCTTTTTTTAATTTTAAATTTCGATTCAATTAAAAAAAATAAAATAAATAATAAAATTTTTGACATTTTACTCAACTTTTTTATTTAGTTTGTGGAATAATTTTTTGAAGTTTTCACACTATCTCATATCATAACTGAATTATTTAGATTAATTCTTGACGAAGGTGAAATACCTGAAATCTGGAAACATTCTATAGTTATTCCGATATTTAAGAAAGGTGATAAAACTATAACTGACAATTATAGACCCATCGCACTTACATGCACTCTCTGTAGAACTTTCGAAAGATTACTAGCAAATAAACTTATTGAGTTTCTTAATAACAAAAACTTTTTCAGTATTGAACAATTTGGCTTCCTTAAACAGCGTTCAACTGTAACGCAACTCCTTACCATGTTAAACCAAATTTATTCTTGCGTAGATAGAGGCAATAAAGTTGATATAGTATATATTGACTTTAAAAAAGCCTTTGACACTGTCCCGATTGAACTATTGATACAAAAAGTTAAATATATTGGAATTAATGGAAAAATACTCAAATTTTTAACTAATTTTTTGAACAATAGAAAGTTCAAAGTCCGAATTGAGCAAGACTTTTCTGAAGAATATCCCATTCATTCTGGTGTTCCTCAAGGTAGTGTACTTGGCCCTTTGTTATTTGTAATATTTATTAACGATTTACCTGAACATCTGCCTAAGGGTGTTAATGTTAAAATATATGCTGATGATATTAAACTGTATGTAGAACATAACAATGATAACAATAGAAATAAGCTTATAGAATCTCTTTTAATTATTGAAAAATGGGCTAAGAATAATGGATTAAGGATTTCTATAGATAAATGCCTCTGCCTATACATAGGTAAGAATAATGATAAGCAACAATATTTTATAGATGGACAACCAATCAAGAAAGAGAATTGTGTTCGCGATCTTGGAATATTAATAGACACAGATCTATCCTTTTCTGCACATATAACTAAAATTACAAAACAAGCCTATTCAATGATGTATCAAATATTTAGAATATTTAAATCCAAGGATCTTGATAATTTAGTTTTTGTATTTAAAACATATTTGCGCCCTCTCTTAGAGTACGCGACTGAAATTTGGAGTCCCTTAAGAAAAGATCACTTAATTTCGCTTGAAAAAATTCAAAAAATCTTTACCAAAAAAGCCTTTAAACAATGCGGATTAGTTGATAAACCTTATGAAATTAGACTACAAATTTGTAAATTAAAAAAATTAGAGGAAAGAAGAGTACTTGCCGATCTTTGCATGACTTATAAAATACTTAATAATTTCACACATTTGGAACAAGAAAAATACTTTACTCTAACTAAAAGGGCCAAAAGAAGAATTCATCTTTTACAAAATAAAAGATTCACTAGCAAGTCAAAAAATAACTTCTTTGCTCGCATAGTCTCCTTATGGAACAAATTACCTAGGGAAATTGTTGAGATTAGAGATTTAAAAAAATTCAGGGAATATACCAAAAGAATTGATTTACTTAGTCTGTCTGGTACCTAGTGTTTTAAAAAAAAAATTTTTTTTATATACAAAATATTCATTTTTACATTTAATACTTAATTTTTTATTTATTTTTTCTTAAATTTATTGTATTCACAACTTATACATATTTTGTTTTTTTTACAATCACTGTCAGTGTACTTTTATTTGTACCTGTGATTGCTGCATAAATATTAAAAAAAAAAAAAAGTAAATAATAGAAGCGTTAAACTAACACACGTTTAGTATGTAGTATATAGTATATTTTTTGCTTCTTGTCATTAAATCATAATTTAATTTAAATTTCTTTTTAAATACAAGTTTAAATTATACTTAATATTTAGTAGTATTTTATATGTCAATTATTTCTACCGAAGGACTTTTTAAAAAAAGAAAATTTGTGTCGTAATTCATGTATCAAAGAAAAATATTAAATCTTCTACACACAATTTTAAAACATTGATAAATTTTGTTTAATTAAAATTTAATTATTTTATGATCATTAGATCTTTATACTTTAATCTTTATACTTAAACTTGACAATAAAATCTATCTTATGTCGGGTCAGGATCACCCGGTCAAGAGAATCGGATGGCCAACCATTTTGCTTCCGCCAAATAATGGGCCGAACTGGTTAATTATTTATTAAAGATAATTGTTAAAAAGGGAGGAAAAGGAACCTTCTATGATTAAATTTTTTTGACATTTTTTATTTAATATCAAATTCTATTATTAAATAGAGAATTTCTCCTTCATACTTACAATTTTTCATTACTGATAGTATTCCAATTCAACATCATATGATTAAATAATTATGTATAAAAATCTCCAGAGTTATTCGTTAACGCATTTCTACATTATCATGTATTGTAATAAATTGTTATACATTGTTATTATTCAAGAGTTTTTTTTTATTTTTACTTTAAAGTATTTTTTATATTTATATGCAATTTCTATCTAGGTATGTTTATTTATGTTCAATCTATTTTATATTTATCCATTTCATTTATTTTAATTTTTTTTATTTTAATAGTTTTTATTTTATTTTTAATTTTGCTGTAACCAATAAGGTTAATTAATTGTAGGTATAAACATTGTAAATGGGGTACATGTTAACTGAGTGTCCCCCAATAGAACGGCGGCCATTTTTGTTGTTGTTATTATTATAAATTGAGTTAATTATACATTGCTTAATTATACTTTAAAGTCTTAAATTAAATATTTTTTCTTTTTTAGATGACAAAATATTTACATTATTATTAATTACTATAATTACTATTACTAATTAATTAATAAATGTATATATAAATACTGCTTTTGTTATAAATGTAAAATTATATATAAAAATGTAAATAAAGTATATTTTCTGATAAAATTTAATTAAATAATGTTAAAAAGAAATTGAAAGAAAAATTTTAACAAACTTTTTAAGCTAGATAACGGAAATATTTCTTATTATAAAAATTGATTTTTAATAAATCTGCTTTAAAAATTTAAATTTTATTTTGCTATATGAATAAATTTACTTAGAAAAAATATTTATTTAAAATAACAAACAATAATTCTTATATAAATTTTTAATATTTGCTTTTAAATATAGTTATAAAAGTTAAATAATTTTTGTTATTATTTAATTTTAAATGATTATTTTTTCAAATTAAATATTAATTTATTATTTTGTATATACTTTTACAAATATAGTAATTTTCTTTTGTTTAAATTATGTAGATAAATTAAATAAAATCTTTTTATTATAACACGGAATCATGTTCTTCTTTCCGAACAATAGATTCTTCACGATAAATTTCCAGTTCATTTCATAAAATAACTCTTATATTAATTTGATTTTCATCTTTTATACAATTATTTGCTTTCCAAACTAAATTAAATTCTAAACCTCGTGACAATTAAAATTTATTTTAATAGTTTTGATTTATATTTGTCTCCTAGCCAATCAACTGTTTTCTCGTTATATCAAAGGAGAATATGAAATTTACTACGCAAAATTTAAAATTATTGATAATTTTGTTTAATAATGATTTAATTATTTTATTTTTTTAAAATTAATTTCGTTCAAATTATTTTTAAAATTTATTAGTGTTCTATAAATTATTTCCCTCTAAGGTCTTTTAAAAAAAAGATAATTTGTGTCATTAAGTAAAGTTATAAAAGGAGATTATAAAATTTACTACGCACAGTTTAAAATTATTAACTTGTCTTTACTTATGATTTAATTGCTTTATAATACTTTTTTCACATTACTCTTTAAAACCAACTACATTTTCACTTTTTACATTGTTTATATTATCAAAACATTTCCGATTTGTTATAAAATTATAATTAAAAATCAATAAAAATATAACTATCTATTTTTTCAAATTTATTGTTTAAATTGAGTTTATACTTAAACTTGGACATTAAAATTATCTTTATTTAAAAAAATTTGTTAATGAATTTTTAATTAACTAACTTCAATTAATAAAGTTGTTTGAGATAGATACATTTTCTTTGGGTTTTTAAATATTTTAAATTATACAGAGATTTTTATTCTTAATATTTTGAATAACTATATACTTATTGAGAATCTTTAAAAATGTTGTCCAGTAAAATTTATCGTTTTTAAATATTAAATCTTAACAATTTAATTCCTTTGATTATAAAGGAAAAGAATATTGAAATTTTTTGAGTTTTTATGATATCATTAAAATGTAAATTAAAGTTTAAATACCTATTTATTTTTTTAACTTTATTGATAAAATGGATTTCTTCTTCTTCATATTCAAACTCTAAAATTTGTTAGAATTGCAAATAATAACGATTAACTTTGCATTTATTTTCATATTAGAGGACGATTTTATTATTTTAGCATTATAAATAATATTAGTAGTTGTCCCGTTTGTTTATGTTGAGGGACGTCTCATTAAATTTACGTCTGATTTAATTTACATTATGAATTATGTAAATTAATTTACATTATTTTACATTATGAATTACGTCTCATTAAATTTACATTATGAATTATTTTAAATATTTTAATAAATCATCATAATATTATGAATTAAATCAATGTTAAGCTTTTATTTAATTTTTTATATCAAATTTGGACAATTAGCATTTTGAAATATTTTAACATTTTAAATAATTTTAATCAGGCATTTTTTTCAATTTTGAATTTTTTGTGTTTTATCATGACATGAGCGAATTCTCTTAGCGTTTCAATTAATATTTCTTAATTTCATTTAATGCTTCAAATTTAAATTTGTTAAATTATATAAGGTCTCCTAATTTATTTTTTTTAATTAGCTTCCAACCTTCTTCTATATATTTTATCTCACTTTATAGAATAAACAATAAATAGATTTTATTACATACATAATTCACATTTTATTGTCTAATATTTTCTTTATTATGATATAAATATTCAATTTCTGTGACTATATCATATAATTATGAAGACATAATTTTACATTATTTTTGTTGTTATTTTCATTTTTTTTCAATTATCAATTTAAATGAATATAAAAAGCTTAAAATAACAATAATATTAAACAAGGCTTTTTGATTATTTACTGAAATTATATTATTATCAGATGCAAATGGAATATTCCGTGTAATAATAAATTTATAAATCATCTCTTAACAAACTAGCTTAGAACGCTCAACAAAAATATAATAATATAATTTATTATTATGCATTTGTTTGTTATATGTAGATAAATAAGATGTTATTTCTCATTTTAATAATTGTTTTCCAAGACCTCAATTAGCCCCCTTAATAAACTCAAAATTTAAACAAATTTTAGTTTCTATATTTCAATAAATATAATCTTAATCAACTGAAATTTCAAAATCATTTTTTATAAAATTTACATTATGAATTAGTTTAAATATTTTAATAAATCATCATAATATTATAGATTAACTTTATGTTAGGTTGCATTATGAGCATAGATACATTTATAATTTAATTTTATAAAAATACAAATTATACATCTTTTTATTTTGCTTGTGTTGATAAAATATTTGGAATTTTTTAACTGCTATAATTATAAATTAAAATAAAGTTTAATTATTCAATTTTTATCGTTATTTGGAAAGGCGAGTTTCAACTACTTTAAACTTGGAGAATTTAATTTAAAAAAATATAATTTTATTGATATCATATTATTTTTTATTATTTGCACTTTAATTATATTTTTTAATATTTTGACTTATTCGAAAAAAATTCAATTTATATTCAATTTAATAGTTTATCTCTGTTATTTAATATAATTATTAATATTTTCTAATAATTTTTGATAATATTTTATTTTTATCAATTCATTTTAATATGATAAATCATAAAATTAGTTGCGTATTTGTCAACATTTAATGATGATTATCCTGCGTCCATTTTTGTAGAAACTTCCTCATTTTTGATTAAGGCTAAATAAATAAAAATTTAAATTGAATTGACAAAATCTTTTATAATGGAATCGGCCCAAAAAGTCAACTCTCAACTATTAGAAATTAAAAAATATCAACGTTAAAAATAAACTTTTTAAAAAC